GGAGGTTTCTTCCTGTTAAAAGGGAGTTTTTCCTTCCCACTGTTGCCAAAGTGCTTGCTCGTAGGGGGTCATCGTTGGTTTTTTCTCTGTACGTATTACTGTAAGGTCTGCCTTACTGTAATAGGTACAGCGCCTTGAGGCGACTGTTGTTGTGATTTGGTGCTGTATAAATAAAATTGAATTTAATTGAACTGAATATTGTTTAATAAGATTTTAAAAAGTCCAAAAGACATACAACCCTGGGTCTCACTGGCCTAAAGATAATCTGGGAAAACATCCCTGTTTTATTATTATTAAACATTTCCACATGTTTACATGTAATTTTCACCAGTGCAGCACAATGGTCTGTTTTAAAGACAACTATTTTGCTGACCCCTTGTCTTGGGTTAGGACAGCAGGGCATCCCCAGACCCCCACTAATGCAGGCTGGCTTAGAATCATATGATTATGTTTGTGGTGACACATTTATATCCTGTGTTTATGCTATTGTGGTGAGCAGCATCAGATTTAAGTTTCATATTTGCTGCATTTAGAAAAATTAGTCTTCCAACAGGTTTCAAATTCAAATTCAAATTCAAATTTTATTTGTCACGTACACAGTCATACACAGTACGATATGTAGTGAAATGCTTGGACAACTGCTCGTGACCTAAAGAAAACAAAAAAGGAAAGGTTAAATCAAGTTTAAATTTCTCTGAACACACACACAGAACTATGTGTGTTTTTTGGTCTGCCACAGATCACCTGTATTTCAAGCACCTCGCTTATGGAGACAACTTCAACATGCAGCTCCACCTGCCTTACTCCAGCGTCAACGTCGTCTTCAAGCCCAAATCAGACAGTCGGGGCCGAGCCATCGTGGATGAGGGGGTTGTGGTGACGCCGATGGACCCGCTGCTGGAGGGCAGGGTGAACGTGGAGGGTTCACATCTCACCTTGAAGAAGGTCCAAGTGTCTGACTCGGGTGTCTTCAATGTGACAGACCTGGCTGGGCATCTTGTGGCTGCTGTCTACATAGATGTAGCCCGTAAGTGAAAAAACACACTTAAATGAACAACATGCTCTGTATTGCTGTTGGCTAACAAGCATAATAAACTAATTAGCATAATTTTTGTATTGTAAAAATGCAAATAAAGACACAGAGAGGGCTGCTAGCATGTTTGCAAGCCAGTGTAATACAACATGAACTACATGAACAAAGGCTGGAAGCAAAGAGAGACAGAGCACCGGGCTTAACATCAAACTTTTATCGTATTCAAACTCACGCTGAGAAGTTGGAGCATCAGAATCAATACAGAGAGAGGAAAGTGCCTCTGACTGATAAATGATGGACAAATGATGCCTGAAATCATTTCCAGCTTTTTTGCAGCTAATGGGACCGTAGATTACAAAAGAACCTCGTGTTGTATTAAATAAGACTTGAAGCTAGCATTTCAAATCAAAAACTCATTAGGAAAGTGTTTGCTGAGTCATAGATGAACTGAGCTGTGAGATAATTTCCTCAGCCAGAGGAGTCGCCCCCTGCTGGAAATGAAAAAATCATTTTTTTCCTGCATTTTTTGCAGCTTAGCATTTCAGGTCCAGAGGCTACATACAGCTGTTATACATTCATTTCTGATTTTCCCTTTTTTAAAGAGCAGACACTGAAGCTGGTCTTTCTGTGTCACAGTGTAGTCATAAATATTAATAATTTAAGCAATAACATGCTGAAGGATGTACAACACTGCAGGCTGCTGACATTTATGTGCCTGCGTGCCCTCGATGTATTTCTATTTTTATATAAAGTGTAATACAAAGGGAGTCAGAAGAGCAGAAACCAATGAATAATAAATAAATTAGTGACATTTTACTGTAATACTTCCAGTTTAACATTTGTGAGTAATATTTGTAAATATAATAAATGCAAGTGGATAAGAGCACCTTAAATCCCCACATCTGATCCTTTACTTCCTCCTGAGGAGAAAACGCATGATATTTATCATGGCTCTGCAATTGTGTTTTTCTGTATTATAGTTCACGATGTTAAATGCCTCTTTATTTCTTATCAGTTTTATGCGGGCGATGTTGCCGGCACATGTGCACGGATGACTGACGTGTCAACAGCAGAAAATGATGAGATTTAAAGGAGGCAGAGATGAAAGCTGATATCTGTTCTTTCAGGGTTTTGAAGCATCATTCCTGTTGTCACAGAAGACTCATTATTTCTCGCCATGGTTGTTTTTTCCTTACCCGTCCTCGTCTGTCTCGCTCAGCTTATAAGCTGCCTCCCCTGACTCTGGCCATCCTCGCGCTGCTGGGCCTGGTTGCCCTCATGCTGCTGGCGTGCCTGCTGTCCTGCATCTATAAAGTACATAAGAGGAACGAGAAGAACAAGAAGTTGACGCTTATTGCTCAGCAGGCTGGCAAGAGTGACGGCGAGGCTTTCAGACAGGTAACCCCCATCTTTAGTTCTTTATTTCTCTTGGTGGTGTAAAAGAAAGTGAGCAGCAGGACAGTGGTGTCTGTGATGGGAGGGAGAGGCAGACGGTCCTGCTCCTGCTGTGGGAGTGAAGATGGTCAGCTGGTCAGCTTCCTCCCCTCCAGTGCTGCACCAGGCAAACATGTTCACACCCAAATTAAACAGATCACCGTTGCTGAGGATGACTCAGTGGAATTGAACTACAAAGGAACATTCCCAAAACTGATATCCAGGGATGCTGACACAGACAAAAGGACCCCGAATTTAAATAACATAGAAAAAACATGCACACCTTTTTTATAAACATAAATACACATACACACAAAAACTAGTTTTGATAAATTAAGACATACATAAAGACATCGGACCATGTATACACATGATTTTGGAGCAAGTAGCAAGTCAGGCCTGATACTGCAAAACTGTGATTTTTACTTCCATTTCTTGTTATCATACGATTCTTATTCTTATTCACTGATGAATTCTGGGTACTACACACAGCTGTAGCTTACATACTTACCGACCTCTGCCAGAGTCCTTTGCTCTGAACTGCACAGTTGCAGAAGTGAGACCAGCGAATCCACATCTCCTTTTCTCCACCTCTTCTTCTTCAAATGATTTTTTAATTGCTTCATTAATAGCTCGAGGTGCAAAGAGTGACTTTTATATGTTAATGATGAATTTATTGCTAAAGACCAGAACCAAAATGAGGCTTGTGCATGTGCATAACATTTCATGATGACTAAGAATGTAAAAGAGCACAGATGCCTTTATAAATATGCTTTTCTGCTGTGGGCATTCACACAGTTTTATTTGTGAGTCTGCACAGAGTTTTATGCCTCTGGGCTCTGGTATTTCTTTAGAGACTGCACTGTGCAGGATACTCATGATTAGTTTCATTTTAATAATTAAAAAAAAAAAGACAAATCCATAATAAATGTCTCTTAAATGGAGCAGAAATTGTTTAGAACCCACCAGGTAAAAAAAACTTGATTTTCAGTTGATTTGTTCATGATTTATAGTAATTTAGTGCCGTTAATCAGCCTTTAGAGAGTCTGTGTTGTTTTTAAAAAGTAGTTATAACACAAAGCCTTTTTGAGCTGTGGTTATTATTTTGTTTCTCATTCTTGAAATGTCAATTTTGAATAAAATATATTTTAATTATGCTGAGCCTGCAGAGACAAAAACAAACAGGTGACTGTTTTCCAATCAGCTCTTTAAAATCCTCGCTTTCTTTGATTCACCTGCTCATTACCGGCTGATCAACTGACGGATTGGATGATTTAGAAGAGCTGACAGTTAACCCCGGCTGCTCACCCGGCGTCCCCAGGAGGCGGTTTGTTAACCAAGTGAATTTATGGATTCCCATTAAAACCCCATTACACACCAAACAGATGACTCGCCTATAGAAAGCACCTAAACATCACGCTCAGAAATTGATCGCTGTGCCGAGGGGACGCCGGTTCGATATGAGCAACCAAACTGTTTTGAGGAAAATGTTCAGATCAATTTTATGAGCATTTAATAGAAAAGGCAGTGAATGCTTAAATCAGTCTGGCTGATAAATGAAGGAATAAGAATTCAGTCTTTTGATGTAATTAAAAATAGTTGGCAGGGATAATCGTTCAGCTTCAAACTAATTTAGGCAGAAAATAACAGTTTTTCACTGTTTTAACTAAAAGCTGACTGTGAGGTCATTAAAACTAGTAGAGCGTTAACACTTTGCTGCCCAGAATCCCCATTAAATGATCCTTTACACCGATTGGACCAATTAAAAACCTGCTGCAGGCAGATGGCTCACTCATTGTAAACAAACCAGCTACAGCCACAGAGACTGATGGCCCTGCAGATCCTATTAGAGGATACCAAATGTTTACAATAACAATATGTCACATTAATTACTTAATGGAAAGGCTAAATTCACAGTTGTGTCACGATGGATGGATAATTAATGTTTCGGATTTTGCATTTTGAGCTGGATTCTCATCAAAAATCTAAATGTTTTATGGCTTAATCTTAGCGCTGCTTCACATTTCAGTTACTTTTTTTATTTGTAGATTAGGTCACATGTCTTCAGCCCATGTATGCATTTACTGCACGATCCCCAATCCACAAATACATTTTAGCTTTACTAACCAATGACAATGTGACAAAAATAAAAATATGAGGTATCTTCCAGTCATCACAGAATCATAAATGCACGCACTGATTTTTATGCTCTCTGTGTTTTTTAAAATATTTAAGATGTTAGACTGAAAACTGTTATGGTGCGTTAATGTTGTTTATCTTGCTTCAGCTTCATGAGTGTTTAGTGAATTGAAAGTATGAGCGTGAATAGAGGCCTTCATGCTCTCAGCTGGATGTCTCTGATTTCTTGGCCCGGCTAACGCTGATGCATGTGCGTTGCGTTTTCTCCCTCTTACTTTAAGGAGCCTCACACGGAGCCTCTTCTTGGTGAGAGAATTGCGTTCTGGCCTCTTTTACTGCTGCTCTCCCTTCTTCGTTTTGGTGTCTGAACAGATGTGTTGCTTTTGTGGCAAATAAGTTCCTTGATCAACTGGCTTTTGTGTGACCCGACCATTGGTGACAGTTTCAAAAACGATGTGTTCAGTGTGTTTGAGATTGTATGAAGCCATTAAAGATATTGAGCACCGGCACACTCGATAAATCCTGGACACGAGAGAAACTGCTATCAATCCTAATGAACAAGCAGAGGTTGATCGAAGACCTAATTTGACAAAAAGTCGATAAATTACCGTAAGTGGATCTGGCTCTACGACTTGGAACAAACTGTTTCTGTGATCCTTGCAGACTTTCAGTAGTCATGTGACTGAGCTGCATCCTTTTTAATTCACTTTATAAGGTTATTATGTGGATGGAGTTTGATTGCTCTACATTAATGGGGTAAAGAATGCAATATTCCACAGTGGTCCTACAAAATTAGGCAGTTCCTCTGTTTTTACTTTCAAAAATTGAGATTTGAATTAAGAAAATCAGTTTAGATGTTATATCTTACTCAGGTTTCACAGCTCAGTCAACTTTAGGAATTGTCTTGCAGGATTTCAGTCACAGTTTTGAGCCAGGTTGGGGTGCAAACACCAGAAATGCCCATTTTAACAAGTCATTTAATCCATTATTAAGTCTCAAGTTTTTTAAAACAAGTAATAATCTCAGTTGATGAAGAGGAGGGCTGTTTCTGCTTGGCTCCATCTGAGTTTGGGAACAACAGAAACAGCTTTACTTGCTTTAACCAAAAAAACTTTGATTTTTTTTAAAGTTTCCCTCCACTCAGAAATTTTATTTTCACTAGTGGCTCTGCCTCCAGTGTTCAAAGTTTGTCTGGAAATATAACTTTAAGGTGTTCAAGCAGGAATGATGATGCTACACTAGAAGTTAGCTGTGGTTCAATAGATGACTTTCACTAGCATGATGTGGAAACTTGAGGTTTGATTTGCACATATATTGAAAATAACCCTTCAGTGGTGTATAGGAGACACCTTATAGGCCAAAAGTATTACAATTTTGAAGCGGAAGACATTTGCGTATTCATAAATTCAGGATTTCCCATTAAGACGGAGGGCGACTATGTCATTTTAGGCATTTCCAGGAGGCTAATTAACCTTTTTTTTAAGGGAAAAACTCGGACTCGAATCATTCTTTTAAACAGAGTCTGCACACATGTCTGGAGGGGATCTTTAAACTTCAGTATAGTGATTGAATGACCTGTTGAGATGGCTTTAACCTCCTCAATATTGGCGTAACTTCAGCTGGGAATTTCTAACTTTGAGAAAGTCACGCTGATATCACGTGTGGCGCTTTGGTTCCAGCATCAGTGAAATATTCCCGCTCCTTCCCTCCGCTTCTTCTCTCCCCCACTGCTGGTAAAACCTCAGAGCACTGCAGTTACTCATAAACAGTGTGGTTATGATAACTGCTCATACTGAAGCTTCACTGCTAGTGTAAAACCCAGCCAGCTAAGCGTGCACACGTTTCTCCTTCTTCGGTGGTGTTTTATAGTGTGGCGTGAATCACAAGGTAAATATGCAGTGTAATATTTGTGGGTGTACGTGCTGTTTGTGTGTTTTAGTCGCTATAAGAAAGGCAGTGTTGAAGAGTTGTGTGCATTGTATGTGTATTTTGTTTGCTTGTTGTTGTGTAGAGAATTTTACCTGTGCAGCCAAACAGCCCAGAAAGTGTGTGTGTGTGTCAGTTGTTTCCTTTTAATGTGTGCGTGTTTATCTGCATTCAGTGTTATGTGTTCATTTTTCTCGAGTGATGCAAAGTAATAAATTAAAATGTGACATGATGTGAGACACCCCCCATTTATTTGCTGCTTTTACATTTACTCCTTAATGACACCAGTCATGAAAAATTAGTCTATCACTTGATGCCCGGTCGTTATTCTTCCAGTTGCTTACCGTACATTATTCACAAGTAAGTTTTTTATTTTCACATTAAACTGTTGTTATAATTTGGCTTTGACTTTTGTTTTTCATTATAAAATATTAAATAATCCATAACACTTCTTACTAATAGAGCTCGGTCTTATACATACATTTTCTTAACTGCTCTGGTCTGTGGGTGGCTGGAGCTGATCCCAGCTGTCACAGAAGATTTCTTTTTAAACTTTATGGTAAATGGCCTGTATTTGTATAGCGCTTTACTAGTCCCTAAGGACCCCAAAGCGCTTTACACATCCACCCACTGGTGATGGCAAGCTACATTGTAGCCACAGCCGCGGCGAGGCTGCCAGACACTGGCGCCACCGGGCCCTCTGACCACCACTAGTAGGCAACGGGTGAAGTGTCTTGCCCAAGGACACAACGACCGAGACTGTCCAAGCCGGGGCTCGAACCGGCAACCTTCCGATTACAAGGCGAACTCCCAACTCTCGAACCACGATCGCTCGATATTTATATTTTTACGTAGTGAAAATGGAGGCTGTTCATAAAGGTAACCCAGTAGCTCTAACACATAAATCAAACCAAAAAGTGACAGAAAAGGTTAAATGAAAGAGTTCTTTCTATCCCCTCAACTCCTTCTGGAGACCCTGCCTTGGTGCTGTCTCCCGCCTCTCTCCTGATGCAGTTTTTTTCTTCCCTGTGCATCGGAAAAATCTCAACAATCATATTTGCCCTGGTTAAAAGTTCAATAAAAAATGGATTCCTGTATCAGGATGTGACAAGCTGTAAATTAGAAAGTGTTTTCAAAGAGACACAAAACTGCAATACAGTGAAAAAGTCTGTAATTTTCCAGGTCACAGGTAAATCAAGTTAAGCATGTGCTTGTGTGCTTATTGGGTAATCTATCAGGTTTGTAAAGTGATCTGATTTAAAGTCTTATTAAAAAACATTGTTTTATTGTGTAACATTCTGCTCATTTATTTATGTATAACAAGTTTAAAAATGGTTAAGTGCTGTGTTCTGGATCCTGTCGGGGGAATTCCTCCTTAGAAAGAAAGAAAGAAATCTTACAAGCGTGAATCAGGTCAAGACTTTTCCTTTATCACATATTTTACATGCACAGGAAACGTGATTGTAACAGGATTTCACACAAAAAACCACAGCTGTGATTCTCGGTCTTTTTACAGTCTTACTCCTCTTTATAAGTTCAGGCTATGCCTCGAAGCCAAGCTCCTAAAGGGATTAACACTCCCCTGGTGTTAAAAGATAAATAGCAGGCTGCTGGCCTGAACCCTCCATTTTCCAAGAAACAAATTATGTGGAACATTCAATTATGATTTATTATCTAACATCTAACAATCCTTCCAAGAAATGTTCTCATGTAAAACTGTTTCAAGTCTCAATTTAGGCTTAAAACAGTAAAGTTATGCATTACAAGAACATAGGTTTTCTAAAAATATGCTACATATTACAAAAACTCACTCTCTTTATGAAGCAATATGTAATTTCAACTAGAATATGTTGGACACTTTTTTCATCCAAATTTGGGAAACTCGTTCCCCTCCAATTCAAAAAACAAGAAATAGTTTCGACGCTGTTTACAGTTACAACTTAAAGCTTTACAGATTTAAGGCGCTATTGAGCAATATCACTTCTTAAAGTGTTAATTAAAAAAATCTGTCAGCTGCTTGGACAAAACACTTTGTGAGCCAGCCAGTAAAGCTCTGAAGTCGCTCACCAAAGACGGCTAAAAATACCGCGTCATGGATGCTTTTCAAAATAAAAAAGCATCCTTAATTTAGCCTTAATTAAGTTTCCATCAAAGGGTGATTCTTCTCACTCTGTTTATTTTAACTACATTTACACTACAGTCACTGTTACAGCTCACTACTGTTATATAAATATCAGCTGCTGTTGCTTCAGTCAAATCTAGTTTTAATCAGGACGTTAAAACTTTGAGTTGCTTTTGAGTTTGGATTTCTTTGCTTTCCTTGTGTTTGACGTTTTTGAGTTTTGTGATTGTGTTGTTGTGTTTGTGGTTTATGACTTGATGATGTTATCAGTATTTCCCTGCTCTTTCCTTTCCCTCAGTTTTGTCTGTGTCTTCAAGCCTTCTGGGTTTCCCTCTGCCTCGTTCATTCAAGTTTAGAATATTATTTCAAAGTTTTAGCGTTAGTTTTTTATTTTCTATTTATCTTCACTTGTATCTTATCTCTGATTAGTCCCCACTGCACTTATATAGTCGTGCCCTCCCTTCAGTCTTTATCTCAGCCCCTCCCCTGATGTGCTCTCCTGGCCGTCTCTGGGTTTCTGATTTGTCCGAGTACAGTCCTGCATTTATTTCCCTGCACCTTTTCTAACAAATATTTACCCAATAAAACACATTCTGACCTGTGATTATTTCAATTTTTCATGATTACTGATGATTGTGGGAGAAATGTCAAAGCAGCAGAGCCTTCCAGCCTTCACTGTATTTGTCTCTGTGCGGTTACTTTTTCTGAGTGTATGTTTGTGAGTCCTAACGTTTTGTTTGTGATCACCAGTGATGTACTGTACATTTGTGTTAATCTCTAATGTGTGTTAAAGCTGTGGTGTTGTGTGTGAGCTTGATGTGTGTTTGTGTGTTGACAGCCGAGGTTGAGATGACAGCAGGCGGCCTCGCTGTTATGGATTTTCTTGTAGCTGTTAGATCTCAGACGTGCGTGAGAGGATGTCAGCAACCTTTCGAGACTTAACCCAAGAGACCGACATGAAGCTCAGATCAATCACGCCTGACTCATCACCTCACCTGACCGCTTGTCTCATCCTTTGCATTTTATTACATCCATCTCACCGTCCTGCTCTCCTCTGTACATCTTCACTATCTGCTGATTATTTCTTCCACTTTAAGTCTCTTCTGTCACATTTACTGACGTTTATCTTACTCCTGCTTGCTGTCTGTCAAATACCATGTTTATCTTTCCAGCCCCCTCCTCCTCCTGTTTGGTCGCTTTTCTTATCTATTTGTACTACTTCTTTGCTTCCTTCGCTGGTAAAAAGACATCAGACATGGAACTTCTTGCATTTATTCAAAAAAAAGTAAAAAAAAAAAGTAAACGTTTGCATCCTTTTTATGTTTAGCAGATATTATAAAGGAATTTTTAAAAATTTTGTAAACTGGAGACAAGCAGTGTGCTCCTTCAATCATTTACCCTTCAAACACCACAGAACAAACAACAGTAAATTTCCATGCATGATAAAAAAGTTCTGCGAGTCCAACCATAACAGTAACTTTTAAAGCAATAAAATTTCTTTATACTCTTGAAGGTCATGTTCTCATACATTTCTAAACTGTTTCGATGAACCATGAATTCCTCGAGTCACACTGTGCCACGTCACGTCATTGCTGACACACAGCGCAATAAAAAGGTGGAAATGTTTAGTCCTCCATGTTTAGCCCGCCCATTGGCAGATTTGGCTTTTTGCAGCTTTGCATCCGTCTCCCAGATTTTATTAGAAGAGATACGGTGCACACTATAAAACCACAAGTTGAAGTGATCAGAACAGGTGTTCCTGTGGGAGCTGAAAAAATAAGCAAAAGAGTACCAGCTTTACCAGAAAGACTACCTTGAAGTGGATGCCAACCAAGTTTTAATCAAGTATGATTTTATTTAATTAATAAAGGATCTTGAAGTTAATCTTTTTTATCTGCACAGCCTCCTCAGCAGGATTCTCTCTCTAAGCACAAAGTCAGTCGTTTGCTTAATGCCGACTGTAATCCACACCGTTCCCTGTCTGTGTCCTTATCCCTCCACTGTGCTGAATAATGGACAGTTTATTTAAAATGCACAGAGCTTCTGAGATTTTTTACCGTCCCTCTCCTGTTTACGCCTTCACACTTTTCTTGTACACATCTCCACTCATCCCGATTTTTCTTGCTTTACCTCTCTTTTAGCACATCCATCTGGCTCTTTCTTGTCCTTTTTAAAACTTTCAGAGTGCACCTTGAGTCCATCTACTGTATCTTCAATCTGCCCCCATGCTGTCTTCCCTGCAGTTGAAGGGAATAGGCACTTGTGAAATATTGTAACTCCCCCCCTGGGCTCTGTTTCCTCTCAACCTCCATCCCTGACATGAAGACAAAGAAGTGCTCTCTGTCATGTCACACAAGGATCCTTTTTAATATCTCTGTTTAGGAGCTTTCTGTGCAGTTAAATGTAGCCTGTGTATGTGTGTCATTGTCCTGTAGTAACGTAAAACATGTATGATGACAAGCGATGTGTAAACAGCTGCTGTTGACGGTCGATTTTTACATGCATCCTGCATGTTTGTATGTGTCTTTCTGTGTGTGTGTCTGCAGGTGGTTCGTGAGGCTTACAGCAGGTTCACCGAGGAATCGCTGACACAGTCGATGTGTGATAAACCCATGGAGAGTACAGAGGTCACCATCAAGGTCAGTGGTGGAAACAAAAAGCCATTAAAACGCAAAAACATGTTAAAATGATAAATAAAACATAGCAGAAATTAAAAGATCACAGCTTCAAACTTGGTCTTTTAGCTGCAAATTCATAGATATTTTAATAACCATGCATCAACATAGTAACACATAATCTGAAAGACAGATGAGCCTAGAAAGATGATTCACATCTTGGCTTTCAATGGGCAAGTTTGTTGCACAGCTGAGCTTTATTCACTCTCATGGTTCTTACGTGCTTGCTCATAAAACTGTACAATTCCCACGACCAGCTGGAGAACTTTGTGGCGTGTTAACTTTTTAACTTTCGTATTCAAAGTTTGAGGTATATTAGATTTTATAGACCAACACTATAAAATATATATATATGAGACATTTAACATGATGGCCTGTGGATGTGAAGCAAGCAGTCAGCCATCTGTGCAGTGCACAAGTGTAAGGATTAGCTGCTAAGGAATTGCTCTGCATTCCTGGGTATAGCCTGCAGCTGTGCAGTGGTCATTGGTTGTGGCTGCCAGTGATGATTACATCGACCCTGAGTATCTCGGGCCTTTTCTGCTCTGACAGTGTTTCCAGATTTTCCTGGGATGCAGCTGTATGGCTGGCAGAGAGGTACAGGTTGGAGCAGCTGATCTTTGTCTCATCACATTTTCACCAAGTTCAGACGTGGTGCTCTCAGGGTCATGTAAGGCTGCAGCAACAGTTCAGACCTGCACGCCGGCATCTGGCATGCAAATAAACTGGCCTGGAGCAGCTTTGTCATTTGCAGCATGATGACACTGATCACAGTGTTGTGCACACACTGATTATTTGTATTTTTGAGACCAGTGGCATAGTAATGTAGTAAACTGAACCTTTTCTAAGGAGTTGAAGTGAGCGTGTTTGTACTCGGTAAATAAATTACGGCCCTGCCATTGACTAAAATCAACAGGAACCAACAACTACTCAAGTTTGTGTTATGTAAGGGTTTAAAATTATATGCTGAGAAATGGATTAAAACAAAGACGGAGAACATATTCAAATATTCATGATATAAAACTCATGTTGCTTTTTTGACTAGTGTAAACCTAAAACTAGATGCATTTTTGTTCAGCTAATAAAGGATAATAAGAATACTGGTGTGTAGCCAGATGAATAAGCATTTTTGTGCCATCAGTGAATGTCTGAACAATTCAGCTTTGGCTCCAGCTTCTTATCTTTGTGCGATGTTGTTTGGTCCTGGCGTGAAAATCAGGCTAATAGGTCAACAGAAGAAGAGTTTCACCATCAGCTTGTATAGGTTACATAATTGTTAGTGATAAGAGCTGTAGATACAAGAACGATTAGAGCAATATCGTCTGAGACTGAAGTCTTGATGTTGATTATGAGAACAATCTGAAGCTTAATAATGTCCAACACCTGGTGTACTTTTGGAAAAGTTTGCGCTCAAAGTAATATATTAATTAAAAAAAGATTAAAAAAGATTTAAAGACAGAAACATCATTGCCCATCTTTGTGTTTGAGATTGCTCAGAAACTACCTGCTATAAAATGTCACCTCAGTGCCAAGAGTAATTAAAATGCAATCGACCTTACACGCTGCACTCGGCAGTGGAACAAATTAGACTCAAGTTTATAACTGCAATAAAGGAGTAAAGAAAGTGAAGTGGTCAAGGTTCAGGGAGTCCTTTAAAACGGTTGATTCAAGCTCCCGCAGGACTTCTTGCTCTCCAACGTGGAATATCACAATAAAACTACAGTTCTTTTCTAAATTTGTTGTTTCAAAAATCAACGCAGCAGCATCCGGATAAAATTTAAATTAAATTTAGTCTATTGTTACAAACATGTCTTACAGTTGATGTTAAATTGAGTTTTGTTGTCTTACATCAACATGCATGTGACAACAGAGAGCTTTGAATCTCAGGAACAACAACAATGAAAATGTGATTTCTAGCCCACATCTTACAGGCCAAACATTTAGTATAACTGTGGTTTGATCTATTCGGGTGTTTTCTTTATCATTTTGCTGCACCTCTTTGTTTGTGTCCATGTAACATAAGAGTAGGGATGGCTGCAGGAGATGGTGAGGTAAGTCTATAAACACGGTTGGAGAAATGTACATAAATTATTCACTTTTTTCCTCTGACCTAAATTTTAACCACTTGTTTTTCTTCCGTTCTTCGATCCTATATCACCTCCTTCCTTCGTCTCCTACGCCCTGTTGGGGGTATCTGTTTTGTACTCGCTTCGACTCCTGCTTCTTTTGTCTTTTCATCTCAGCCCTCTGTCCCTGTATAATATTTTCCTCTTTACCCTTCTACCTGGCTTTCTTTTGCTTTATCGCCTCTCTACTTTCTAGTTGTTGTTTTTTTAAACTTTTCTTTGTCTTACTTTCATCTTTTGTTGGGTCCTACTTTCTCCTCTTTTACTCTTCTTCGCCTCCTTTATCTTTCCTTTCATCTTACTTTGCATCCTAACTCTTCTGAATTGTATATTTAGCTTGCCTTTCATCTCCTTCTGCCTCTTTTTATGCAGGGCCTCGAGGTGTCCAAACCAGGCCGCTACCACACTCTCAACTCAGATAACTTTTTGGAGATGAGCGACTCCGGAGTCGAGTTCACCAGCTCTGGCCTCCCACTGGACAGCGACACAGATGCTGCGATGACCTACGCTTCCCACAAGCCCCTGCTGAATGCCGCTTCCCCTCCAGCCATCTCTGAAGGATTGCACTCCGAGGGCTTGGAGGCCACTGTGGTCCCTGATGGCGACCTCAGCGCTAGCCAAACCCCTGACTCTGCCTTGAGCCCCATCTCTAATCCTCACTCGCTCGCAGCTGCGACCCCTGATGGAAGCCTCCGTGGTGCTGCATCGCCGGGAACCGCCTCCAGAGGCACTGCTGAGTCAGATACGGCCAAGTCGGAGGGAGGGGCTGAGAGTGGAGAAGGTGAGCAGAAGGAGGAAACGGCCCAGAGCACCTGAGAGGGAGTACCAGGGTGTATTTTTTTTAAGCTCACCTCTCCCAACATATCCACAGTCGTCTGGCAGGAACTTATCATATCTCACACCATCAAGTCCTTCGTCACTGCATTTGAAGCAACATCACAGACAAACGTTAAAGCTTGGATCCGGATGTCTAGCCTAGCCTAGAAGAAAATAACTAAAGCAGCAGATGCTCAAAACGCACAATGCAAAATTTAAAGCTCTGAAAAATGAAAGGTAAAAATAGAACCCCCCGAGCTGTATCAAAAGCAGCTCCGTGCATCTGGAAAATGCATGCATTTAAATTAAACATTAGAGTAGCTATCATAGTTCAGATCTACAGGACATTGCTGACATTAGAGTAGACTGCATGCCTGCTAAAGAAGCATAGGCTCACAAAAGAAGCTGTGATGACACGAAAAGGGTAAAAAACATTCATCACTTTTAGGGAAACGGCTGAAGGGGATCAAATGATTTTGATTCCTGTGAAAACAAAAAAAGGCGACAGCAGTGTGACAGTTTGACAGGTAGAGCCAGCGCGCATCAAGGAATCAGACAATTTTTCTAGGACCAAGCCTACTAACGACAATAACAGCAGAGAGCGTCTCCCTTTCCAATGGCGAATCTCAATGCGTTGCCTCTGACAGCACTTTTGTCTGCTCTCACTGCATCAGACAAACACAGTGATGATTGCATTTCAGCCCACCCACACGCAGCCTCTCTATTATTAACAGTACAAGCATGTCGGAGAGCGCCTCCACATCTCTGACAAAAGTGCTTGTTTCAGCAGTCATTTACCCGGAGAAAAATCTACTCGAGGTATTATTTCTCAAAAACCTGCAAAGTGAAACGAGCTAGATTAGATTGAGTACCCTACTACTAGATGGCTGTTTCCCTTTCTCTCATATCCAGCGTGTCAAATCTGCCAAATTCAGGGCATCATCTGGAGAAAACTGCCTAAACGTCCACTTCATCTCACTCGCACTAATGATAAAAGCTAAAAAAAGAGGGGAAAAAACACCCAAAAGAGCAACAACTAACTGCAGAAACTGTCCTCATCTGTTTTACCCACCCAAGGGAGTTGTCACAAGCCCTGTCAGAGGAAAATAAAATCCAGAGACTAGCGTTCAACACGTCTGGGGCTTTTGGAACGGCTCCTGAGAACGTAATTGGATTCTCGGTCTCTTTGCAGACGGACCAATTCACGGACACCGTCGAGTGAGGAGCGGTGATAAAAGAGACGACAGAGATGGAACAGTGTTCTATTCGGCGAACAGATAAATGACTTGCATGATTTAAAGCCCCCTATTTTCATCTCAGCCCCAATCCATCTCACGGTGCTCCAATTATTGTAGCCCGGTTGTTTGCCAAAATGAAGTGAGTGGAAAGGCACAGTTTGGATCAGTCTGCGATAACGATGCAGCCCGCAGCCTCAACAGAAGGAGACTGAATAAGTCGTGAGAAGTGTAAATGTGTGTGTGTGTGGAGGGGGTGGTTCGTGTAAACCGAAACAACATTATTAGACACTCAGTGCTTCGTATGGAGGCATGACTCAATTCAACCCATTAAAAACAGGAAATTAAAAAGAGGAGAAGATACAAATCACAAATTAAGAGTTAAACTTGTTGCTTGTGCTTTATGAATCCCAACTTAGCACATAATTCACTATATGATAGTCCAGTGTTGTTGACTTAGCTGTTACAATGTTACAATGTTACAAAGGCTCAAAATCTGTTCAATCACTGAAGTAAGAGCAATATTTAAGTTTAAGTGCTGCACGGCCACCTTTCATCCATTCAAGGGCATTCGAATTGTGAAATCGTGCTGCAGATTTGAGCTTAAAAAGTGTGATTTTAAAAAGAGGCCACAGAATGGGCTGGAGATGTAGTCAAATCTCTTTTAAATTACATCCTTGAATAAAATCAGCTTTTTCTTCTTCTTTTGAAGGGGCTTCTTTTCACATGAGGAGGTTTGGTAAATTAGCGGTCACTTAAGAGCAATGAAAACATTTTGTGGGAGAACACACACAGACGCTACAGGTGAGAAATGGAATAAGTGACGGCAGATAAAACGTTTTTTAAAAGAAGCATGAACAGAGTCAATTAGATTAAGCTCTCTCCATCCTAACAACTGCTTCTGACTAATTGGTTCCCCTTCCTCGCTGTGAAAGGAGCTCGTGGGCTAATCCAGGTCACTGGAAGCTGATTTACACCGCAGTACGAGAGCGAGGCGTCTCACGGCGCTGACGAAACGGCGTCCAGGCATGTCCTGTCCTCCGCAGGGCCTGACAGTCCGTGATACCACCAGGGTTGTGTCACGGAAACATCAGGCACACGCTCCACCCTCTGAATCACACCCGAACCACGCTTATCTTCATCATCGAGTCCACATTTCGATATCACTATTATGGCTGCCATTGACAGCTGTTAGCAGTAAGGCTACCTCATGCTGTAACCGAATCAATGTCAACTGGAAAAGAGAGATTTACGATCCAAACCTCCCAGGGTGACTAATAGCGGTCAGACAGGTGCAGATAATCGATGCCTGGCAAAGAAAAGCACAAAATTTAACAAGTAATCCCTTTTTAAATTTTAAAAAGGGTCCATACTGTATTTAAAAAGGGTAAAAGATAAGAAGCAGCTATTGTAAATACAGTAAGGTGATTAGCAAACACATAGACTTTTTATTAGCTCGTTCCCTTCTTATTCAGGAAAACTTAGTTTGAGTTGCGTATTTCAGTGTCATGTGTTTACAATGACTTGTGTACCCTACATTAATGTGACTGAATGATTTTATATGGCTGTTTTCTATGGATGTGCTTTTGCTCATGTGTAAACTGAGGGGCTTCCAAAACTCTTGTTAGGTGAGCAAATTGATGGTCAGTGGAGTTTCAATTAATTCTAAAGCAATATTAGTATTATAGCACTTACACATTACTATCACCCACAGGAAAGAGGAATCAGGCGTAGCGCATCCTAACATGATCATGTTCACTTAGTTATCCTTTTTTCACAGTTGTAAATATACAGATATGTGATCTGCATGTGTATAGTGTGAAAATACTAACATATTTCTTACTGCAAGGCTTATGCAAGATTTTATACTATTAAAAAGCTGCATTTATCCTTTAACCACACATCGACAGTAAGCAGAAAACTATGCCTTTAGCTGGGAAGACTCGTAGCTCATGCCATGTTTGTGTTTTTGGGCCACGGTCGTGATCTGTGAAGTCCTTTCATCAAAGCTGATGTCAGCAGAGACTCTGCCGCCTCTGGGGTGCAAAGCATCAAGAGTGCTGTTGATTTAACCTCACACTGCCTCCGAGACCGGGGCAGGAATGTCGGATTCACATAAAGTTCCAGAAATCCAAACAAATGCAGGCCAGTAGGATATAGTTACAGGATAATAAATTGATGATATGTAAAGAAACGCATCTGTTTCTCATAAATACGCGCACGCTTCTTTGGTTTCTTGCCCAAATCTGTAACTCCAGGAAGTCCCGGGTGATTCTGGTCGTGCCTGAAATCATTCACTCATTCGTTATAAGCTGATGCCTGTAAAGGAAGTTCTGTGTAGACAGCTGTCTGTGATCAAACCTTCAAATATCAGTCAGGTGACTCTCTGCTGCTGTCACAGAGTTAAAACATAACAGCATCAGCCCTAATAAACTGGCAGTATTTTGGGTATTAAGGCTGATTTTCTCAGTGTCATAAACAGAACATTTCACCTTCAGCACAGTGTGCGATGGTATCTTTTGTAGTAGTTGTACTTACACTATTTAGTAGAGCATTGTGGTATATTTTAAGTGCACGATAGGGAAAAAGGATACCAGACACTTAGACGTAGCATATATATTCACTATATATACACAATTCACTATATTCATATATATGGAGAGAGAGAGACATAAAATTGTGAATGATTTCTGATGCATCGTTTGCTTGCATGTTTTATATAATTGTAAACTAGCAGCAGAGTTGGGATTTTTTTCTAAGTTACAGAGTGTCTGAAGGTTTGTGATAAGGTAACATGAAGTGCATCCTGTACCAAGGCCAGGGCTTATCAACTTTAAAGCATCAGATACGCGTTCCTCTTGTGATCATGCTGCACGTAACCACCAAGATTCAGATAATTCAGCCTGTTAATTTACAGGCTAACCTTCCTTAGAGACAGCTTAAGCCATTTATCTGGCATCTGCAAAGCTAGCAGCTAGATGGAAACGATGCATCTTAACTAGGATGCTGTTCTTGTCGTGCTGCCAGACATGTTGCAGTTTTACTGTGGCACAAGAAACATAATTAGCATATTATTCAAAATGTTGCTGTATGCTAAGTCGAATTTTTAAAAAAAAACTCCATTTAACCACAGCGGGGTATATCTGCTGCACAGGCTGCCAAGATATTCAGCAGATATATGGAGTCCTTTGTGGAGCCCCAGATACTGCTCAAGACAAATATCTGCCTGCTATGCTTACTGTTTGGTCTGAGCTGTTATGAAGTTATCACATCAGAATATCTGAGATGCATTCGTCAGGAAGATTTAACATTTACGTGCAGATATTTCAGATCCTGGTTGACGTTTTATTTTGTGTACTTCAATTTTGAGAGCAGCATACTTTCTCAAATGCGTTTTACTTCATAAAGATGAAAGGTTTCAGATCGAACATGCATCGTAAAGCCTCTTTTGGAGGGCACTTTGTGCTTGGCAGGGTGAAAGGACACCGCCCTCCTTTGGATCGCAGCCTGTGCCTGCTGGAATAATAAAACTTTAGGTTCAGGCAATCACGGCTGACATAGGCTTTATGAAAGGATTTCACTTGCTGTCATTCATCCTCAGTCTGATGTTTTCTCTTTCATTACACATCTGAGCTGCTATTCACAAAGCCTCTCAGAACAGAAGTGTTGATCCGTGTGTGGGTAGGGGGGAGATTTAATAAAATGTTCTTTCAGTTCTGGTAGATTCGCTCTCCTGTTAATCTACTATTCTCTGTAAATCCAAAGAATATAATAAAAAAAAATCACGAAATGATGTCTGCAGTGTGGCAGTGCGCTAATACCTCTGATCATAACAGAAATACGCTCTCGCACGAAATATCCACACTACTGTTCACTGCAGCTTCTGACTCTCACATCAATTAAATTTAATTCACTCCAGTTCAAATCAGTGGCTTTTGTGATTGAATTTAGTCTCATCTCTGATTCATGACGGATAATTGGAGAAACTAATTGGAAAGCACTTATCACTCCGTCACTCTGAGTGCAATATTTTACCACGCTAATGTTGCCGGTAATCTTTTGGACAAACTGATCCCGGTTCGGCAGCACTTTGGCTCTGAGCAGCATTGCGAATTATTCAGAAATGCGGTGTACCATTTTCTGCTTGAAATCTGTTTTGTAGTCAAACTTCTGACCTATCGCGAGCCTCCCAGCACCTGCGGATGTTTTTCATGTAAGAAAAGGTTAATAAATGTACGTATGAAAAAAAAAATCATATAATAAATGTCTTTACTTTGAAATAAATGTACTTGTTCTCAGAGGAGAGAAGTGGATATGCTTAAAAACTCACCTCCTTTGAATGAATGACTTTCATTGTCTGGGCTTTTTATAGCATCACATTGAGCACCAAAAAACTAGTCTATCTGTGCTTAGTATTTCTCCTTACTCTGATATTATAGCCTATACCTGCTGTCCGAGTATACCTAAGAGTTAGTGTAACTGCAGCATGCCGACCAGTAGATTGCTTGTGGGACAGCAGACGTGACCTAATATTGATAATAATAATGTGAACAGCACTTTTCTGTACAGCCGGCCACCAGAGTTCACTGTGAACTCGTGGCTGTTGTTTCCCATGATCCTCCTTAACCTTACAAAACAAAGTCACCTTTCACTGCAGGGATTCAGCTGCGAGTGTGAGTTGAGGATGAATATCAGTGCTTTTTCACATGTACTTTTCTGCCATATGTTCATAAAATTGATTTTCCTTCAGAAGTGGATGTTTGTTGCATTTATTAACACCCAGTATGAAATAAATGATAAACGTGTGAAATATTGAAGAATTTTGCCTTTCTTTGATTTTGTCTTTGAAATGTGTTTTTATCATATTTAACTTTTTCATTTTTGACAAAAATAAAATGGCATGCATTAAAATGAGATTGCCTTTGATCTGGTGTTCTCCTTTAACATACAGCTGAATGTGCATAGACTGAAATTCTTAATTGTCAAGTTGATGTCTATTTCAAATCTGAAATGCATGATCTGACTCTAAGTGGCATTAAAATTTGTATTACAGATGTTTAGTTTATGTGACTGGATATTACACTGACACTGGGTGCACCTTGCATCATGCCCGGTCTGTTTATTAAGTCTACCTGTGCGTTCATCTCCTTGGCTTAAAAGGATCAGGTAGTCGGGGTGGTTCTTGAAGCTTAACTGGATCCTCCTTGTTGTTTTAGCCCATCAGAAGTATTGTCATTGTCGATATTACCTTAGCTTTTTCTGCAAAAACACATCTCTAATGTTGTATCTAGGACTGTGTTTGAAGTTTTTTTTTAGCGTGCTGGGATCGTTTCACTTTCTCTTTCAGTTTGATCGGGCCGTGATCTTTTGTCTCCGTGGACTTTACACTAAAAAGCTAGAAGGTGACTGTTTTTTATCAGCTGATTTGAAAGTGAAGTGTCTCTCTTTATGCTGAGCAGTGGGGTTAAACGGAGAAAGTAATCGAATGGCAAGCCTCTAATGTCTGATGCAAAACAGTCTTTAAGCAGGTTAACTTTTTTAGCCTGCATTTTGGAGGAAAATGTGAGAAATATGCAGGTTGTGCTGAGTTCTGACTAATGTTGTGAAGAAAAAACACTGAAACATAGAAATCTGTGTTAATATTGTGAGTCTAGGTCACAGGAAGTGAGACAGAACGATTCAAGGAGACATGAGTGTACCTGTTTGAATGATACCAGGAATTCTGGTCCGATTGCTTTCCTCTTTTTTCTCTTTTCTGATGAACATCTTGCTTTAATTTGAAAAACAAATCAGGTCTTTCAGGTCTCACATGTAGTCATTGACTCTAACAATACTTCAGTGTACTGCCATAAACAAGCCTGGTTTGCTTGAATGATATATCAGTGCTTATTTGTATTACCTTTGAGACCTTTTGACATAATGGCACATACTTTTGTAAAGCTCCTTTTTTTCTGTAATGAATGAATAATTCCAATTAAATGAATTTTCAACCCAGAGCGAATCACGAGATTTGTATTTTTGTCTCGCTGCTTTTTTAGGTACTCTTTCCGTTTCCTTCATTCAACTCAAGTATTTTTCATTTGAACTTCAATAAAGGATTAGCACGCATTTCCAAAACATATCAGGAAAGCCACATTATATATAAATGGTTTTAATCTGTAAAAGAAGGTAACCACTTTCCCGAGAAAGCACAGAGCACATTTTGAATTCTTTAAGTTCACCTAAATATTCCCAGAAGTAATAGGAAGTAGTGATGAAAGCACTCCAGTTGATTGTGCAGTGCTTGCCTGTAGGCATCGGTGCCGCTTAAGTCCTTTTGCATAATATTATCTCAGTGCTTTAGAGGTTGTAGTGCAGACTTTTAAGAAACATTATCCCAAATCATAGATAATGACAAAAGGCAAAAACACACCAACAGGAATCATATTTCCTTATAAATATAATCACTGTATGGGTTCCTTCTAAACAGGCACTAATAATAAACAGTTAAATGAGAATAAATGCTCCCTCTGACTCGCTCCTCCTGCTGCATCAAATTAACAAAATTCCCATTAACAGAATCACATAAAAACAACACAAATACAAATGAGGACTATTAATGTGCCTGCTGCTACTATTGACATCCTGCATTTGACAATGTCTCACTTGCTGTTCCTTCCCCTTGATGTTTGTGTTTGTGCAGAATAATAGCGTTTAGCCATGACTGTGAGTTGACCTGAAGACTCTTGTGTGTCTCTTTTCTCATCTTAAATCAGACTTTATGATGTGTGAGTGTAAATAAAATCATTTCAGAAGGCTTGTGCAAGTTTTTCTGAGGACTTGGCACAAAGGGTGTTTGAAGCATCTTGGAGAATTTACTGCAGTTTTTTGTAGGTTTAGTTTGTTTCACAGTCTTCTGTCCATCTAATCCCAGATTGAGACCCACATGCAGGCACTGGGAAAACATGCAAACTCCACGCATCAACATCCCGACAGCCTGAGGGTGAAACCAGAAACCTTCTTGCTGTCAGGCAACGCTGCACTGCGCTACCACCGTTTTTCACTTTTATGCTGTCTATACTTATTTATGCTGCATAGAGCTACTGGGTGTGTACAGCATGAATAAGTGTGCTGCAACTTTGAGGAAACCACTCTGTTGGATAAACTCAGTTCTGCTGTATTGAAAAGCCCTCTAGACTCAGTTTATAATTCCAATTTGATCAGACCACCAAACAAAGGCCTAAATGAACACATATTTTTCTAGAATATCTTAAAGACTACTCAACAACATGAGGAATACTTTCTTTTTCAGTTGTTCTTCTCATTTACAAAGAGACCCATTTATAAAACAAATGAGAATAAAGAAGATAAATAAGCACAATTTTAAGAAAATGCATCAGTTTTACCACATTGGTTGAATCTATTACATTATAGTTTATAACAGTGGAAAACCACAACACCTGCACATGTGGAGTTTTTGGAATGAAGTATTAGTATTTTATATTTTTATCATTTAAATAAGTTGTCTAGCTCTGGAAATACTTTTAACTTTCAATGCACTTCCACTCCTGTGTAGCAGGCACATGGAAGCTCCACCACATGGGAATAGCAGTTCATTTTATTAGAAAATTAGAGTAATTTTGGACTTCAATTCAATTTTCACACTTTGCAAAGCCAGCGGGCTGAACTGGATTCGTCGGTAGGGCAGTTCTGGCAGGCCATTGTCATCCGCTGGGATGGCTGTGGCTCAGAGCGGGTCATCCACTAGCAGGAAGGTTGGTGGTTTAATTGCTGGCTGCTCCAGTCTGCATGCCAAAGTATCTTTGGGTAGAATACTGAACCCTTAGCTGTGCTTATTGGAGTGTGGATGTTAAATATAGAGTTTAAACGTAGAAAAGGTGCTTGTATTAGTGTGCATGTATATGGGTGAATGAGATAATATATAAAGTGATTTATCTCATTCATGCTATAAAGTGCACATAAGCTGAGTCCATAAGTGCTTTAGAGACAAACACATTTCCATTTCAGGTTTTTACAGAACCCTGTTTCAAAATACAGGAAATTTGTTTTCTTATATTAACTCACGATTCAGTGAAGTCAAAATCATAGCGTGGTTATTAAAATGTGTTCAGAATTTGCAAAACTGACAATGAGTCATCTCATAAATTATGATGCACTGCTCTTATTAATAACCTCTGGCCCTCTTCCACAGTGTGTGTTTTTTATCCTGTCTTTCTCCCATCACCCCCAAATGGTCGAAGCAGACGGCTGCCCCTCCCTGATCCTGGTTCTTCCTGTTAAATAGGAGTTTTTCTTTGCCACTGTCATCAAGTGCTTGCTTGAAGGGAATTGTTTAATTATTGGAGTTTTCTCTGTTCTTGTTGGGTCTTCACCTTGCCATAAAGCACCCTGAGGTGACCGCTGTAGAGATCTGGCGCTATATAACTAAACTTATTAAGTTTCTATTATTGCCTGTACAGGCATACACAGTATATTGCTACAGCGCTCAGTTATTATACAGCTTTACTTAGATTTAGTAATCAGATCTATACCAAACTTTGTAGTGCTGCACAGCACCAGCATCTACCGCACTAACAGTATTTTCCTCGCTTTTTCTTAACTTCAGGTCCTGTTCACAGCTCTTTGTGAGAACAGTTTAAGCTGCTTTTAAATATGTTGCTTTGTTGTTTGCGCTGTGTTTGAGTTTAACCCTTATTTGTCTGTTAAACTTCTGTAAACTACTTTTACTGCTCACTGTGCAGCAGTTTGGCCTGCTGAGCTTGAGTAAAGTGGCTAGCCCAGCTGTGACACTTGCGTCGGGCCTCCTCCTCCGGCCGGGCCGCTCCTGCTCCCGCTGAAGGCGCCCTGGCCCGCAGCCAATCGGGGCGGGGCAGGATGTGACGTCGCTTCTCGCACAAGGAAGCTCCCGGAGTGGCGCGCCAAATTTCAAAGGACTTCCTCCTGGGAGGAAAGACGGCGAGAAGACCCACCGAAGTCCGGCAAACAGCGGCGACAGAATACCGCAGAAAAATAAAGTTAAGCCGGTGTTTTATGGGTGAAACTTCCCCGCTGAGCCGTGGAGTGAGTCAATCTGCGTGGATCTGAGGATTTAAAGACATGAAGTCGGTGCGCAGCTTTGTCCTTGTTGTAAGTGGCTGCTTTGACTTTCACTCCACCTACAAGGAACTAACGTCAGCTAGCTTCAGCCTGCTTCTGATCGGCAACCACTGCTTATCTTAAACCTCATTTTAACGCCAGGCAATCAGGGCTTCGTCAAATATGCGCATTTAAACGAGAATATATTGAGTTTTTATTTGAAAAAGCGAGTTTTTTGTGTGAATTTGTTTCGGTTTGTGTGCTTTGCTTTGTGTGCTGATCCCGTGATTGTCAAGGAGTCTGCAGGCAGCTGATGCACGATGCAGCCACCTCTTAAAAAAGTGCAGCTGACAGGGTTTTTTCTGCTCTGCTGTACAGTTAACACAAGTGTGATATCCTCTTACTTCACCTGCTGCACCGTGTGATGTGACAAAAGGGGTTTTAAGCTTTTCTGTAACTCTAAGTGTCAGATAAGTTGTATTTCTCAGCTGTTTTTTTTTCCTCCTTCAGACACTAAGTGGAGCAATTAAGAAAAAGCACCTTACATCTGAGTGACTTTTCTCTTGTTTTCTTTCAGATTAGACAGTCCCCAGCTGTTGCACCCTGTCAGGCTTCCCACATGTGAGTCGGCTCATGTCAATTGATGTCAGCGAGCCTGGGATTTTAATCTCCTCCACACACACAAACGCACACGCACAGAGATCAGGCCTCTGCTGACAGCTGCTCAAACCTGAAAAATATTAGTTTTCCAGCTAAAAGTCACACCTGTTACCACCAGGTTTACTTTTCCGGGGTTTAATATTTGCGGCACATTAGCGTGGGCTCGGTCCGCATCACAGCAGCTCTTTATTCTTGGGCCCACCGTCTTCTAGCCTCCACTCCACGGGGGATTTAGTCTGTTTAAACTGGGCCTCATAACAGAGTGCGGGAGCTCATTTCCACACTTCACCGGCTTATATGCTACTCTATATCCTCATTA